GTGATACAAGTATAGAGAGCATAGCAGAGAATAGGTTGATTTCAAAATATTTTGAGACTGCATCCATGACATTTGCTCAACTAGCAGAATGTTTTAAGAAGAAGAAATGGGAAACAGATGATGATGCGTTGAAGATAGCAGTTCTTTATTTTGAGAACAACTTCTTACTTTCTCAACTCAAAACAAAGGTTATTTCACGGTCTTACATTGACTTGGTTGAGTGCGGTGATTTCAATAGTTATCCCTGGGGTATAGATGTTTATAAAGCTACAATTGACTCGTGTTCCAACAAGTTTCAAGATAAGCCTTCTTTTTATAGACTCGGTGGCTTCCCGTTGGCTTTACAGACTTGGTTGTATGAATGCTGCCCAAGTTTGGATGGTCACTTTGCTGATCATCTTGGAAACAAACTTCCACGAATTTTGAATTGGGTAGTCATGGGTCAAATACCGAATGAGCGAGTTGCTTTGCAAATGTGTAGCTTGCAACGCGAGCAGGTAATTTTCTCATAATTTTATCGCCTCTCTTAATATTTGGTACAGTAGTTTAGTCACAGTTGTAGCAATATCCCAGTTCAGTGATATACTCTGTTGGTATACATGTATACTATATTGGTATTATGTATACTATATCCCAGTTCAGTGATATACTCTGTTGGTATACATGTATACTATATTAGTATCATATGGTAATAGGGATCTTTTATCTTTCCATACTTTATTATCATTTTTATTTCTAACTAGTGTGCTTAATAATTGCAGCTAAAGAACATCACCTCAACTGATGATGAGAAGCAACTATTTGATGTGCGTGGTCTAAACTTTGAAATTGAAGTTGAATGCACTGACAGTCAGCCCGATAGCTTTCAGGTTTTTGGCACTCAATTACCAAAGACACAAAGTATGTATGAAAGTACTGGAGGTGATTCCCAACCTACCAATGCTGAGGTAATGAAGGAGTTACAAGCTTTGAAGCTTTTTGTAGAGACCAAGTTTGAGGAGGTGCTTGCAGCTATTGGTAGGCAATCAATGAAACCAGAGGGATATCAGCGGTATTGATATTTTATATAATATAATGCTATAGTATATTGTTCAAAGATGCAATATATGCTTATAGGATACTATTCCATTCTTTACTTTTAGTGCACATAGTATTCTTGTAATATACATAATACTAAAATTGTTAGTTTCTTATTTTCAGAATAAGCAACAAGATAATGATCCTGACTTTCGTGAGATGCATAATGATTATGACCAGTTTGAAAGTTGCCACGTTGGGAATAATCCTGTAGTTCTTGGAGATAGCACGCCCAAAGCGCCTTCTAGTATGTAAATCACAAATTTGATTTTTTTTTTGCTATTGTTTTTTGAAAATAGTACTCTTGCTTATACTTTTATATGTTTAGTATCTGGTTTTGGTGGGGTTGGTCAAGATGGAGGTACCACTGGTGTTAATGTGAAGAACGTCACAGCAAGTGATGGTGTAGTTAATGATGATTTTGGCTTAGATTCTAACTTTGAACTGTCTGCATCTGCAATTGATCAAATCACCGCCATTACACAACAAGCAACATATAAGCAGTCATCTCATGATGTTAAAAAGTCGGGTCCTGCTCTGCTGCCATCAGGAATCCCTGTACAGATACGAGCAAATGTTGTTATTGAGTCTAATACTACTTCACAGGGTACGATGTTGATGTTACTAATTCTGTAGTTAGTATGTAAATGATAGGTTCTTGATAGTTTTTTAATTTTTATTTAAGTAGTGATACTGATAATGCTTTTATGTGTTCAGCATGTCGGGTTGATAATGTTGGTCAAGTGGATGTTGGTGGCAGTAATGTGAATTTGCCTTCTGGTAATGTCTTCTATATATAACTTTTCATTCTTTTTTTCTAAATTTGTATATTTATTTATTCACTAGCATTTTCTAATTTAAGCTCCATGTCGACACGAGGGTGATCTTCACTTGGATTCTGATTTTGAATATACTGATTCTCAACTTGATATAATTGCTGCCATTACATAAGGAGGGAGACGTAATGTAAATCAATCTGGAAATGAACTGACAACTCGTGCTGTAAATAAGTCTAAACCTGATCAGTCGGTATCAAGAAGTATTGTCCAGATACAAACAGACATTGAAACTACTCCTGCAGTTTTCGCACGGAGAAGGCGCCCCGCAGCTGTAAAACAGTCGCCGTATAGGAATGACTGGCAATCTGGTGTTAGTGCAGTTGGGGGATCCTCGAAGGTTATCAAAGGAAGATTTCCATTTGTAAATGACATTTCAGAGTTTGTTGATTTTAAGCTTATGACTGCATTCTCAAACTTTGTTGAAGCAAACATGCAATTGGGAGAGTGC